TTTCTACCCAACAAACAGATCAAAACAACACCACTTTCCGAGAATGAGAAATGAAAAATATTTTTTTTTACCTCTTAGACTGCATGATTACCTATGTAATAATACCGATTACCGAATGACATCTTTTTATAAATTATAGACTCTTAGCTTAGCTGTGGACGAACGTATGGACACAATCGAATATATAATCAGTTCCTTATCGATTAAATAATGAGTTCCTTGCTGTCTAAGAATCCGAAAATGGGGATGTAGTGTAGTGATAGTAATACAAATAACAAAATTCAGATACCAACTAATAACTACCATTGTAACTTAGATTAATGTTTAAATCGAAGCATTGAAAGGATTAAATAACGGATGACTGACCTAATGAACATCGAGTTACATAAAGCGTTTAGTTTGCAAATTGTGATCAATGCACTGCTAACAGTAAGCAATTCCTGCTTCTTTGATAATTGTTATTGAATAGTGCGATAAATGCTACTAACCGCAAATCGCATAAATACACAGCTAATCGTCTGTATAATCAATTTTCCAGATAACATTGTATGAACTGGATCTACATGACCTTACCTACAAGTGGCTTGTAAGTATAGAGGCGACATCTATATTCTCCACGTATAACTACGAAGCGAGTCGTTACAGTAGATGGCGCTGCTAGCTGAGCTGGCGCGCAACAATCATTCAATAGTCCAGTCAATGAAGGTTTTCACCTCCGATTTCGTTGAATCTCCATCGATTTTCATGAAAATTAGTGAGTAGGTGGGAGATACCTTAAGAAACAAAAGTGACTTATTGCCAACTTGCGCTTTTGCACTGGGGGTAGATGCCACCCCTTCTCGGGGGTGAAAATTATTTTAATAAAAACCACTCCAGGAATCCATAGCGAGACAGATTCTAAGCAAAATTTGTTACATAAAGTTTTTGGAATACATCAATACTTTCTGAGTTATTAAAGATCAAAGGTTGGTAATTTTCGTGATAAAAATAGATGTTTTAAAGCGGTTTTTCATAAATAACTCAAAAACTATGAGTTTTTACAAAAATAATATTATTTGTTTCTTAGGTTTTCACGCACATCACTCATTAAATAAAACTAGTTTTTACGGGTTAATGCACGAAACTTTATTTATTTATTGACGGTTCGCAGCCTTTTCAGGTCTGCATCGTCAGAATAATGATTTTTTATTTAAAATTGTCGAGCTACCTTCGAAAGACTTATATTGAGCGTTCGGTTATTTCATTGGAAGATTTTGAAAATTTTATTGTCTATGTATGAATTTATTATTTAATTTACTTAATAAAGTATTTTATTTAAAATTCTTGTTTGTAATTTTGAGTTTATTTATTTGACCCTAACTACCGTAAACTACCACCGGTTCCAAAATTGGGAGACCTTCCTGAGAAGAACCGGCGAAACAAACTCAAGAGAGGCTTTCTATCTCCTTCTTATGTTAAATTATGCAAACAAAAAGAACTAATAGTATCTGATGGTCTTGCAGTGTGTCCCAACCCCGAGCACTAGTTTTATTTAATAATATTATTACCAAAATTGAAGGTAATAAAAAATCTACAAACCCTTAATTTGAAAAACCTTCTAAAATGAATTAAAAATGAGCTACTTATATGTTATTAGGTATGTACATTTTTTTCGGCGAGTACTTAAATCTAAGTATTCAAACCTAAATAACGGGAAACCGATGCATTTTATGACATATACTTTCTGAACATTTTTTAAGATCCTCGGAAATACCTTTCTAATGAGCACTGTAAAAAGTTAATAGCATCAAAATTGAGCAAGTTATGATAAAAATAATCACACTTTCGATTTTTTTTTTGGAAAAAACGAAAAATAAAACCTTTACCATTTTCAAAAAAAATCAAATTTACGGTTATCCCTGTTCAAAATTGGAAGACCTTTCTGAGAAAAACTGGCGAAACAAACTCAGAGAGGCTTTTTGTCTCCTCCTTCTGTAAAATAGTATAAACAAAAGGAACTAATGCCTCAAATTACATTTGGTAGGGCTTTACTTTCAAGAATTCGGACATCTGCAGCAATATTTACGCTGGAATACGGGGTGTAAGATGGTTTCGGGTAAACAAAAGGAATTCTACTCGAATACTAATCTATCTTTATATATATAATTCTTCTGTGAGTGTGTATGTCACTGAACTTCTCTTAAACGACTGGACCGATTTTGGTGAAATTTTTTGTGTGTGTTCAAGGAGATCTGAGAATGGTTTAGATTCACAATTATGTCCGCTGGACAATGTTTTTTTAATTAATTTTTTTTATGGCGGTACGAAGTTCGCTGGGTCAGCTAGTATATATATATAAAACTCAAAGGTGACTGACTGTCATAGTGATCTATCAACGCACAGCCCAAAGCACTGAACGGATCGGGCTGAAAATTGGCATGCAGGTAGATGTTATGACGTAGGCATCCGCTAAGAAAGGATTTTGATCAATTCTACCCCGAAGCGAAGCGAGGGCGGGCCACTAGTAATATATGTACGCGACTCCGGTTCGTTTACACTTAGTCGTTTCCCCGAATTCCAAATTCGGGCACCCGTATTCGGGCTAACGACCAAATATAATCGCGCCATAAAAGTATTTGTTGGTCTTGCAGTGTGTGTTCGGGATTGGGCTCCTATCTGTTGAATAATAGGTTCCCAAGCTGATGGTACATACTAACCATCTTCCCTAGTGATGTTTGTATTTTTTTAATCTCAATAGCCTGGCGTATCATCCTAGGAATAAATTGTTGTTGTTTTTCAGTTGCAAGGATCTGTGGTTTATCAAATTTAATGTAATGGTTTGGACCCACTAATGCATGTTCACACACTGCAGACTTGTTTTCGCGCCGATGTTTCTTATCTGCAATAAGATCTTTAACCCGAGTCCTTATACTCCTCTTTATTTAAAAAACTAGCGGCCGCCCGCGACTTTGTACGCGTGGAGTTAGTTATTTGCACATACTTTTTGACCCCTGTTCACTGCTCGTTCGACGTAGGTGATAGCATGATAATATGTAGCCTTTATGTTGACCTGACTTCTTAATAATATTCGTGCCAAATTTGAAGTAAATCCATGCAGAACTTTTTGAGTTTATCCCGGACATACATACAGACAAACAAGCAAAAATTTTAAAAACTATATTTTTGGCTTCGGTATTTATCCCGATTGTAGATCACACCCCAAGTATTCTATAAAAACATTTAATCAGTGTACAGTTTTGACTTGCCTACCATTTTATTATATGTATAGATAGATAATGAAATCTTATTTACATTTGCTCCGTAAACCTGTTTCATTTAATAAGTACCTAGTGTGCGTGAAAACTTGTGAAACAAATATTGAGAAGGGATGTTACGTGAATCCTGCAGTAGCTGCTCTCAAAAGATGCGGACTTGTACGGGACGACAGGTCATAACCGATTGCTGAATTTTGTCGTTTTCGCTACGCTAGACGTTCGACCCCGTAGTAGTAGCCTCAAGTAACGTCATACCCTGTTTTTATGATATATGTAGTCAGCGGGAGGGTCCTGATGACCTGTGTCACAGGTTTCACTGAAACCTACTTCAGGCACCAGTCTCTCACAATACTATAACATATTGTAAACCACAAGTGGTATACCACAATGAACTTTATTTTCATGTGAGAGAAAAATAAATAAATGATTGATTGATTGATAGTGGAAGAACTTGACAAGGTGCAAGGTTACCCCCTTATGTTATTCTGCCGAATTAACCGCAATATGGGGCTTGGGTATAATAATAAATGTCAAAATATTAACTGACACTTGTTTATTGGTAAAATACAAATTATTTAATTTATTTTTTATATCCCGTATAACTTACTTGATTAAAACAAGATTAAACCATAAGGGTCGATAAAGGATCAAAAAGGGATGCCGGGGAATCCCTCATAATCTAGCGAACAATGTGATGTTAGCCCGAGTTATTTTATTAAATTTGCAAACCCGTGCGTTAATCAAAATCGACTAAGGGGGGACCTATTCTGAACTATCATTCTGTTTTTTAATTTTAACATAAGTTCAGATCATTTTTTTATGTTAAAAGGATGGCAAACAAAGTACCATAGCCTGTAGACGCTTCATCATCATCATCAGCCAATTAATGTCCCCACTGCTGGGGCACAGGCCTTCGCTATGGATGAAATAGGGAAGGGAAACGGGCCCAGTGCGGATTGATGGTTACTAACGACTGCAGCTGCAGCCTTAGACTTAAAATGCCTTCCGAAGCACGGAGGAGCTCGTGATAATCAATATTTGGTCACCCATCCAATGACCGACCATTGCGAAAGTTGCTTAACTTCAACGATCGGAGCCGAACGCGCTAACCACTTGCGCCATCGAGCTCCTCAGTAACTGTAGACGCTTGCGATAGCAAAAATATCACTCGTACCGAAGACTACCCTGACCCAGTCCTCTACCCCATAGAGCCCTGGAACCTTACCTTAACCTTCATCATCATCATCATGTCAGCCGTATGACGCCCACTGCTGAGCATAGGCCTCCCCCAAGGATCTCCACACCGATCGGTCCTGCGCCACTCGCATCCATCGGCTTCCCGAGACCTTCACAAGATCGTCGGTCCACCTTGTAGGGGGCCTGCCCACTGAGCGTCGTCCGGTGCGTGGTCGCCATTCAAGAACCTTACCGGCCCAACGGCCATCGGTTCTTCTTGTTACGTGTCCCGCCCACTGCCACTTCAGCAGAGCAATCGTTCGAGCGATATCGGTAACTTTGGTTCTCCTACGGATTTCCTCTTTTCTGATTCTATCGCGTAGGGAAACACCAAGCATCGCTTAACCTTACCGACGACATAAACACAACACCACCAAAATGAAGTATTTTATTTACTGTGGACTTCATCTGTCGGACCCTCCAATCCAAGAGGATCATCCGCTATGCTCTCTCTTGAAAATTTGATAAAGTGTTTGGTTTTCTTGTAATTCTGTTCGTCTCCGGTTTCAGAGCGTGGAGAATGCAAGCCACCGAGGATGGACGACGCGTTTCTGATGCGTTTCTTGCGCGCTCGCCACTCCATACCAGCGCGTGCGCACAGACTGGTGGGTGTTTAATTAGATGCATATGAAAATAGATACCTACAACTTTCTCTCGTTAAAATATGAGCGGCCCATTGCTCTAGATAGCTTGCTTTTAAGGTGAAAGAATTCTTGAAATCGGTCGGCAGTAGTTTTAGAGAAATTAGTTTCAATTCGTTACACACACAAAATTTTACACTATTTGATTTTTATGCTTATACGAATCTAAAGAAAATTTTACTAAAAAATGCTTTAGATTAACTAAGGGATATTTATCATGCTATTTATCTTTGAAATTACTCTAGTACCTAGTTATATTGTTTATTCGATGCAGACATACAAAACTTTTCCCTTTATAATAATAGTAAGGTAGGATTAATCTGATCTGTGTAGTTAGTATGCTTGGTTATGCTTGATGCTTGGGTTTAAACTGTTCCAAACGTTCCAACAGGCTGTTTCTATAATTATGATAAAGATGACCTTATTTTGTAATTGATACTGTAACAAATATTTTGTAAATTATGGTGAAGATTTTTCGCCCGTTTTACTCCACAGCTAAAATATGTCTTTAACGTAGGGGAAGCAATATGAACGATTCAAAATTAATCGTAGTATGCTTCCTATTTGAATAAAGATATTTAGATTTTTCAGTAGAATCTCTTTAATGTTATTTTATATTGTGAATCCGCAGTTGGTCCGCTACTGCAACTTCCGGGATCAGAACCCGCACCTGTGGCGCGACGTGGACTGGTTCAGTCTCACGCGGCTCGGTTCCGTGTTCGAGGGGGTGCTGTTCGACAGGCCGGACGTCGGCAGACTCATCATCTGTAGACTTGGTAAGTGCATCAATAAACTGCGTATGGACGACGCGTACATTGGTACGCGTAAACGGTTACGCGCAGTGCCGTCATTGTCCTATTGGAAGACCTGGGGATAATAGGATAATGGGGCCCCTTTGACTTTCATTTGATGATTTAACAGGAACTAGGGACTTTGTATTTGATATGAGGGGGCCTCCTATCGATCGCGGGGCCCTGGGCACTTGCCCAAAGTGCCCACTGAAACGCTATGTCCATACTTTAACCTACCCCAATCATAAGGAACGCGTCCCGTGTGAACTTACTCGCCGGCGAGCCGCCATCAGTCAGTTTTTGGTCACGTGTGAAAGACAAAATGAATAGTCACGCGTGAATTAGGTATCATCGAACTTAAATAATTAAAACTATTGACTTGTGGAGCTCGCATACAAGGCGGGCCGTACAGGAGCTTGAACGCGTAGCCAATGTACGCGTAAACAGCGTATCACTTAGTTAGCTGCCTCGCTAGGTAGTGACGGTAAACTTTCGCCTATCCCCCATCCGCTATACCGACCAAAAAGGAACTTCGTTCGAATTAAACATCATAATGCGGTCCTCTTCAAATAAAGTACACTATAGATTTTCTTCTGGTTAAAATTGCTCTAATAACTACTCCAGGCGTTTTCTTTATACAAATCTCGTATTATGTGATTTGCAATTCTAGATTACATATTGATATTTGGTGGTAGTTGAACATGGCATAGAATCTTACTTTTCGAAATTCTCCTCAAAATCCTCAAAACTTACGGCATAACCGGGCGTATCTGGTGGTTGTGTTGACTTAGAAGATTGATATTTTCACATCTTCAAAGGAATGCAGACCCTGATGATATGATATTAATTATATATTATGATATTAGCTTCATGTCATCACTCTTTCTTGAGAACAAGAGTCTTGACAAACGGATAGATAGACGAATCAACATCAAAGAGATCACAAAAGATTTCCGTTTCCATCGAACTGCTAGATTTTTAAATCTAAATGGCTATTAAGGTCGCGGTAGCGTAATTGCTTAGTGTGTCCGCCCAGACAGCGGAAGATGCGGATTCGTATTCTGTCTGAAACGTGGACCGAGTGGATTTTTAGGGTTCCGTACCTCGGAAGGAAAAAAACGGTATCCTTATAGGATAGCTTTGTTGTCCACCCGTCTGTCTGTCAAAACTTTTTCTCAGGAACGCGTAGAGGTATCAAGCTGAAATTTATATCATATACTCAGGTCTACTGTCCCTTGGAGCTGTAAAAAAGCTATGTAAAATAGTCAAATTTCTAAAAAAAAACAGCCGTCTAAGCCGCAAATTTCCGAAAATTTTCGAAACTTGTAAGGGAATAAATACCTACAGGGTACCGTGAACTCAACGTCTTAGAGCACAATTTTTAGTTACATCAGATTTTTTTAATAATTATTACCTATATATACCTACAGGTTTGCACGGATTCCTCGTGTACAAGTCCGACTTGCACATGGCCGGTTTTCTTTTCTAGTAATATTTTCTTTACAAATTGGTATCTGTTTTGTCCAGGTCTATGGGATCCCGACCAGATCCCCGTGGACGACCTGATCCGCGGCTGCCTGCTGCTGCTGGAAGTGGGCATCATGCAGCCCAAGCTGCAGGTGCTGGGCGGCACGGCGCTGCTGGACTGCGAAGGCATCTCCATGAAGCACATGCGACAGCTCTCGCCGTCTATAGCACTGCAGGCCATGAACGTTATGGGGGTTGGTCTTCACATTTTTACAATCATCATCATCAGCCGATAGACGAACACAGGCCTCTTCTAGGGATTGCCATACACAAGAGTCCTGCGCATCCTATAGGTCACCAAACTCGCTGGAAACGTTGAATCCACCTTTTTTTTATAGATAGGTCCGACAAATGACTCCACCCCACCTCATGTTAAGTGATGGTGAAGTCTAGATATGAAGATACCTGGTAAAGCAGTTCTACCTGCCACACCAGCCATCCTCACCTTGCCGACATGCATGTTGCTTCTTCACGCCTCTTTTAAAGAATCCCAGGTTGTAAGAAGATTTACGGATAGTGCGGCAAAGAAATGAGTCACCAAATTTCTTTGTACGCGTTGAAATTGTGGCCACAGTTAGACGGTGACAACGAAGGCCAGCGCGCGTGGTCCTCTGAAGGAAAGGGGAAGGTGGAATAAGAGAAAATAACTCTGCAGAACACTCGCCGTGGTACAGACGATAGAACGCGCTTAGTGATGCAACGTCACGGCGTAATTGAAGAGGCTCGAGGTTTTTAGTCACCTCCTCATCGCCTATGATGCGGATCGCACGCCGCTGTAACCTATCCAAAGCATCGAGCAAGTACTTGGCGGAACCACCCCAGAGGTGCGAGCAATATTCTACGCAAGACCGCACCTGCGTCTTATACAACAAGCACAGTTGCTCGGGCGTGAAAAAGCGCCGCATCTTGTACAGGACTCCGAGTTTGCGTGAGGCTGTTTTTACCTGGTGAAAGGTCTACCAATACTGTAGTTCCCGGTGCGAGGTAGCCATTGAACCACCTGAACAATTCCAAACGTGGCGTCGTTGATGTGTACATGGCTGCAGGCGCGGATTTACGTAGAGGCTTGGGGGGGCTAGAGCCCCGGGCCCCCACCGGCGGCAGCCCCGTAGGGCCCCCCGTCATCCCATGAAGTACCGAAAAGATGTTTGCCCTGTACATATATCCCTCCCTTCTACATTCTAAAAACTCCACTACACTCTAAAGTGCGTAATTTACTAGAAACACATCAAAAATCACAGGAAACACTATTACATGACACTAGTGCAATTTAGTCTCACCTTGCATGTATGTCCGAGATTTGTTTTCATATAATATCATAAATTGTATTTTCAGTATCCACCCTTTAGATTTAGTGCTTTTCTTTTTTTTGTTTTAGTTTGTTAATGCAGACAGAATTTGCGTTTAATAACGTGTTATGTGGGAAATGTCTTTTGCCATAGCGTGTGGGGAGAGGGAGAGAGATTTTTTTTATTCTCTTCTCTCTTTTTAAGTGGCTGTGGCAGAGATATTTTGTGCATTCAGCCAAGCATGTTTTGTTTTTATTTTTATTCCTGGTTTTTATTTTGTTTTCTATTTTCTTTTTTATGTTATTTATTGTTCTTGTAGTTATTCATTCGTGCGACACCAAACCGTTTTGAGACTATATTTAATTATTTTATTTTATTTTTTATATTATTATGTTGTCTCAAATAAAATTATTTCTTTCTTTCTTTCTTTCTTTCTTAAAATGCGTGCAAGTTCGAATGCATATTATGCATAAAAGCGGAATTTAGAACAATTGGGAATCAAAAAACATTTCCAAGACATAACTCATTTCTTAGAGCTGATATGCATCCTGCACCGAAGGTCGCGGGTTAGAATCTCGTAAGGGCCGTTTATTTGTGTGTCGAGCATAAATATTTATTCCGAATTAAGTTTGTTTATTTCATCATTATCAGCCTATTAGTGTCCCCACTGCTGGGGCACAGGCCTTCCCTATGGATGGAGAGGACTTCAGGGAGATTGGGCCATGACCCACCACGCGGGCCCGGTGCGGATTGGCGGGTGCTAACAACTACATATGCAGCCGGGACCAACGGCTTAACATGCCTTCCGAAGAACGGAGGAGCTCGAGATAGTAAACTTTTGGTCACCCATCCAACGACCGACCACTGCGAAAGTTGTTTAACTTTACCGTCGCAGCCGAACGCGCTAACCACTTGCGCCATCGAGCTCCTCATTTTGAGATAATTGCAAACATAGAGACAAATAGCCGCGCAACGGAGGACTTTGTATTATACTTAATGATAATAAATTCTTTGCCTAATTTGATACCACTAATTGCCAATTTACTCTTGATTCCATACAATCCCTTAGAGTATCATTGTCTAGGTGTAATGTTTTCTGTAAACAATGGGGGCCTGGTGACCTATAACACGGGTCTATGAACCTACATGGACACCAGTCTTCCACGAATGACGACACGATTATATTATTCGCCTAAGATGTTTGTAAACCTTTCTTGTCATTTGTGGTGAGAAATAAAGTTATTTTATTATTATTATTATTGCAGTTCTCGTTTCCGCTCCATCAGCGGGAGGTGCACGTGATCAATTGCTCGCGGATCTTCGAGACGCTGTTCCACGTGTTCAGGAGACTCGCGCCCGCCGACGACCTCTGGAAGAGAGTGCACTTCCACGGATATGACCTCACCTCATTACACAGGTGGGTGTCATTCACTTGAAGAATCTGCATCATCATCATCATCAGCCTATTAATGTCTGGCTGCATGGGCACAGTCTTTCCTAAGCAGGTGGTAAAGTAATGAGTTTGTTTCATGACCTTCCATAATGCGGATTGTTGGGTGCCAACGACTGCTGATAACGCCGGAACCAACGATTTAACGTACGTACCTACGGAGGACGATGAGAAAGTACATTTCTGGTCTCCCAGAGTGATCGCATTCACGCACCTGATTAAAATTTTATATTCACGCATCGTGTATATAGTGTCTAGTAGTATATTAACTACAGTAGGGATATACTGTGAATAAATAAATCGCAGAAGCCGTTGGTGTCTATGTATCCAATTTCATAAATTCGTCAGAACATTGGCTTGAACCAAAGCAAACTGTACTACATCCCAACGTGTGCATGCCATCACAAACTCTTAACTACTATGCTTGCCATAATATTTGTTGCAATGTTGGCCAACGTGAAGAGCAGGCATCATCATCAGCCTAGCCACTGCTGGGACACATGCCTTCCCTATGGAAGAAATAAGGAGATTGGGCCATGACCCATCACGCGGGCCCAGTGCGGATTGGCAGGTGCTAACGACCGCAGATGCAGCCGGGACCAACGGCTTAACGTGCCTTCCGAAGCACGGAGGAGCTCAAGATAGAAGACTTTTGGTCACCCATCCAATGACCGACCACTGCGAAAGTAGCTTAACTTCAACGACCGCAGCCTAACGCGCTTACCACCCGCACCATCGAGCTCCTCAGCAGGCATAATGGTGACAATTACGGATACCGGTGTTTCAACGAAGGCACTTCCTTCAACACATATTCATCGAACTTTGTTATTTTTACCACACAGGTTTGTAGAACCCGAGTGCCTGCCAAAACGGTACGGCGGGCACCGCGACCCCGTGTCCCTCTGCGACTGGCTCACCAAGATACGCCAGTACAAGAACAAGCAGTTCGACAGCGATATGCGCAGCATTGGTTACTACGTGGATTAGATAATAAATAATACCTCATTACTTTTATAGTGTCTGTTTCACAATCTCTGAATAAAGTTCTCAGTAAACTTATTTTCTCAGTAAAGAATAGGGTCGTTGTCAATTTTGGATTACATTTAAACAATTAAAATTGTTTACTGAGCAGATGAGTTACAAGTAGCTTATATAGAAACTTTACTTACTCAGCAATTGTGAAACAGGCCCTTAGAGAACAAGTAACTTAAACTAATTACATGTTTACCTACCTCAAGGCGGAATATTTCAAAACTTTTGTAAGAAAACATTCAACTTGGCCTCTGGAGTTTAGCTGTTACTGTATCTTTCATATTGCAAACTCATTTTAATTATTAAAAGAAGTCTAACTATGTAAACTTATTATACATAATATTCGTTTCTATGATCTTTAGTTAGGTACGATAAATCTATTAAAGTGGATGTTTTTCTAGTTAATGAGAACTAAAGCATAGTTTTATACATGTAGCATTCAAATGCTTAAAAATATAATAAACTATGAAAATGGGTTGGAATTGTTTATTCTAAATGTATATTCACTTAGTTCCATTGTAGAAGGTAAGGGTTCAATCCAGACTGCTACCAGTGCCAAGTTGAATCTTTTCTAGTAAGAATTTTGATTAGAAATAAAATAGGGAACGCTAAGTTGCAAGCGTTATATTTTTGAAGATAGAAAATACAACAATGGTGGATAGTTTATGGCTACTTCTCCAAACGAAAAAAAAATCTATGTTATGGTAATCTTTCGAGCTCAAGTACAAATTCCCGCTCCCCTACCATGTTCAAAAACATCTATTTACTGTGATAACTTGTGATAACTCATTAACAGATTGAGTTTGGCTAACATAAGACTAAGACCGCGAAACTCCTTAGTCTAAACATTTTCGCTGCAAAGAGATTCTAATATGCTTTCCAGAGCTACGTTTACTTCCTAAGGATCTATGTCTTCCGTGGACTGGGATCATAATATATTTTTAAGCATAATGTTAACATAATGTAGAATAAGTAGTAAAAACATAGTTATATAGAAAGATATGAGATAGATCTATTTGATTGACGGCGGCTGTTGATGCAACAGTAACACCCCATGGCTTCTGCTCTAAATATTTGTGATGAGCCCATATATTTTTTTAAACGTAAGTACAAGCCGCAGATATTAAATTTTTGTAGTGCAAGGATTTGCTCATTTTGGGACAATAACAATACATATCGGAGAACTCATAGCTATGTTGAGTTGTCAGTTACATTAGTGAGCTTATTAAATGGTTTATTACATTTATCAATATTATCTTACATCTGACCAATAATAAGTGTAGCATTTACTATCTTAAGGCAGTGTAATAATACTGATTTTATTCCTATTTTTTGTAGCAAGTTAGGAAAATGCCTCTTCCGCACTTACCTTTAAAGGGCCCCAGATTGTACGAAGGGAACACGGGCGCTGGCAAAGATTTCCACTTTTTACACTACTGTCCAAAATATTCTGAATGCACTGTACTATTGTCTGCATATCCTATTCCTAAGATGATTAAATCAATGATATGCAGCAAAAAGAGTATGGGGGAGAGGACAGAGCCCTAAGGGACACCGTCATTTACTGATATGAATTGCGAACTACATATGTGCATAAGGACGCAAATTCTACGCTCGTGCAAGGAGTCATACACCCAGGCACAGAACTGAGTAGGCAGACCATATGCAGTACGCTTGAAGAGAAGACTTTTGTACTGGACCCTGTCAAAAGCTTCAGCGATGTTAAGACTGATAGCCAAACTCTCACTCTGATTGGCAACAGCCTTGCCCCAGGTGTGTGTCACGTCAAGGTCACCCGTCGATCGATTCGGCTTAAATCGTCGATTGTCGATTGGAGAGTGTTCTTTTAGGTAACGGGTCAGATCGTAATTAAGGACCCTTCCGAAGACTTTGCATAATACTGAGGTGACAGCTATCGGCTGACAGTTGGCCGGGTCTGAGCGATCCCCTTTTTTGGGCACCGGCTGCAAATATGCATCTGTCCAAGCTCCGGCACACGCCCCAAAAGAGTACGAGAGTTTATACAGGCGTATAGGCACTGAAGACAACTCTACTGCACAATGTTTGAGTACAACTGTGATGCCATCGAGTCCACTAGCTTTCCAGACTTCAAGTGATTGCAATTCCTGCATCAGGCATCGTAGTGCAGCATCGATTCAGGATTTAGCCGCAAAGAGATTTTTCAGTAAATCGTCTTTCTCCTTCGGCTTAATAACTAGTGATCCGTTTGGAAATATCAGAAGTGGCAGCGAGGGCTGTCAGTAGTAGTTGTATTGTTTATACTCTTTATGTTATAGAAATGATTTCCATATCTAAAGATTATAGCAATAAACGAGAGATAATAAATATTTCTAAGAAATAGTGATTTTGCAATAACGGTGCCCTATATAAAGATAACATGTATGCTACTTACTGTAAAAAGATAATTTCTGACTGTGAAAGATTTAGTATTAAGAAACTCCTATTTTTATAATTTTGATATCAATAAATAAACTTTATATTTTGATACAATAATATATTTTTTATTAATACCATGGAAACTATATGAATTGTGCCACAAAACAACACACACTCTAACTGATTTGGGAACGAAAATTCTTCAGAGTGCGAGATTGCATGGCTTGGATTATGGGTTTCTACGGCGACAAGCCATTCGCCTAATGGACCGTGACTGTTGTCCAGAACCCGTAGATAAAGCTCGTATCTACCAGATATTACAACTCTTCGATTTGTCTATAATCGGTTAAGACTGCAAGATCTTGGTAGGATTCTCAGCATATCATATGCGATATCCCACTACACTTTTATGAAGATGTAACGTCCGGTCCCCACTCTCCTGCGTCGATGGGAGATCATGTAAGATTGTTCCTCCCAGAGCCTTTCCTCCTCTACCTCCAGTCACAGATAAGCCGGTAACTAGGTATCTAGCCTTTACACTCTTGCATCGAAGAGACCGCGTGATATTGCTCCTTCCGGACTTTTCCATGTCTCCATCTGGTCACAAATTACTTTCAGTTTGCGTACGCTATATGTGGAACTCACTTCACCTCCTCCTCTTCTTGCAAATATACGTCAACTCCTCTTTAAGTCTTTGCCTCTTAGTATTCCTATAGTATCGGAAACCGCACTGACCCGAGCTTCCAGGTTTCATAAAAGCGCTTCTGCTACAAGCACAAGCAACTGCGTAAGAAATTGTGCGGTATACCCTTTGATCACTCTTAACGCTATGATCATCGTAAGAGCGTAATCGTCATTGGATCGTGAATTTTCAACTAACCACTCACGCCCATGAAACTGTTTAATACAAGACTGACTACCGGACGCAGACCCAGTTCGGCACAGGGCTTCGCAAAAAACCGTCTCATGGGCATGAGCCTAAATCTACAATCTTTAGCAGCCCCTGATTGGCAATAGTTGGCCGAGTTTTCCGCAGCTGCGCCTGCAACTGTCAAAGCTAGTTACTGTGAATGAGCGTCGATCTATCAAGCACCAACCGCGACGAAGTGTTTGAGGAGGGAATTTTGAATGGTAAGTACTGCCCCTATGTTTTATGATAAAAGTGTGCCAAATAGGCGTATGGCCTCCCTGATGGTATATGGTTACCATGGCCTACAGATGCTTGCGATAACAAAAAAATATCACTAGCGCTGTTGCCTACCCTGACCCAAACCCCTACCCCGTGGAGCCCTGAAACTTTAATCACAGACAGAAACTCAAAACTACCAAATGATAATGTTGTTTTACTGTAATCTGCTGCATAGTGGAGGTTACTTCCCCTGGCGGGCGCTCCAATTCAAGTGGAAAATCCGTTATGTCCTACCTCTATTCAATTTTATTCTTTTTAATTTTTGATTTGTTGTCAAACATAATGATTAAATAAGCGTATACATAAACTTATAAGAAGGACAAGGACAAGGGCCTAACAAACAAGACTATAACAACTATCGCCAGTGAGCTCGCAATGCCTAAGACCACTCTTGAAGTAATATTTCCAGAATATCCAAAACAGAACAGAATATGTTTTAGCAATAAAAATTTAATGCTTCAAAATAAAAATATAACTAATAAACATTATGTTTGTGATGGTTTCTAAGGCTCAAACTCAAACTCATTTATTCAGTCTAGGCTGTTACAAGCTCTTGTGAAAGTCAAACGCTACGCCATCGGTTCGTAAATCTGATGATGATCTGATTCACCAATTTGGACATAAAATGTACGAAACTTTTGTCACTTATGATGTTTTGCGCACGACAACCACGTGAGCAGTAAATGGCGTGTGTAGAGAAACGTAATTCAGAAACAAAGTTTTGTGTATGCGTTTTTGTTGAAAGTTTTCAAAAAACTTTTGCTGGAGACTTTACTTAATCACGCAAAAACTACTGAACGGATTTGGATAAAATTTGATACGCATGTAGTTTATCCTTCCAAATCAAAGCAGACACTTAAATTAAGTAATAACTTAAATTAAAAATTTAACGGATTTGGACCTCTTCACGTTTAAACCGTTGAACCGATTTAGCTGATATCTGCTCCATATACATATTTTGAATCCCGGAGAATGGAATTAATCCATACTAATATTTTAACGTGTCTGTCTGTGACCTTTTCACGTTTAAACCGTTGAACCAATTTACCTGAAATCTGCTCCATATACATATTTTGAATCCCGGAGAATGGCATTAATCCATACTAATATTTTAACGTGTCTGTCTGTGACCTCTTCACGTTTAAACCGTTGAACTGATTTATCTGAAATCTGCTCCATATAGATATTTTGAGTCCCGGCAAAGGTCATAAGGATAGTTGCTATCCCAAATCATCCTTTTTGGAGGGTAAAAAGGGGAGAAGAAGTTTTTATGGGAAAGAAATTTTACCACGCAGACGAAGTCGCAGGCACCCATTAGTATTAGAATAAAACAAATTATATTTACATAAATACTTACTTTAGACATGAATCAATGATTAAACCAGTTCTTATACAGGATTATCGCGAAACAAGGTTGTTGGTGTTTTATTAGGCTACCTACTATTTTGCTAAATGCCATACTTACGATTAAGTGTTTAAAAAAGCATAGAATTAAATCTTAAACAATAATATTTACTATTATAAACAACTATGAACTTACGCTATTAATTAAAGCAATCTACACACATCAGAGAAGTAGGAGCAACATGCATCATTTACGCAAACTGCAAGTTTTATCAGTAGATAAGTTGATATTTAATATTATCGTGATTAAAAATATAATTTTTTTTTTGTTGTAGTCACTTGTAAATGAAACTAGGTAAAATGAAACAAAAATCAAAATCCAATAGGCAAAGTAAAAATTTTCTTTAGATTTAAACATCAAGCAGTTACATGCTTTAAAATAATAAAAATTATAACTATAATTGATATTTCTTCTTTCAAATGTTTAATACTTGTAAAAGTATTCATTTGACATTGTGGGTTACCTATAATGCGAAGAGATGGCGCTGCCTTGCAGCTTAAGAATGGCTATTAAAATTTCGACACGATTTTTGAATCTGAGTTCCTTGTACCAGATTTTGATTTCTTATACCTAATTAATGTAAGAAATAATATTTTTATTTAAAAAAGTTTGCTTTTGTAGCTATCAGAATGAAATTTTAAATATCATGGAAAATTGCAAAGTCGGAGCGATTGATTACTCCTAAAAGAAGCCTAGGTCAATATTTTTATTCCCCACCTATGGAGCGCTTGACAACTCCCTAAATAAGCCTGTCGTCATTAAGGAACACCCATCTAAAGTGGCAGTCATTGATCGTGAACTCCACCCTTACCTGTTTGAAGTTGAGGTATGATAGAAGACGTATATGTGTATTTGTATGAATGGTTGTATGTTTCTGCGAAGTAGTGTTCCTCGGATCTCTTTTAGCCTTTTCTTTAAGCAAAATTTTCTCCAGTCGAAAATTTTCTGGGGTCGTAGAGGAAAATGATACGTACCTCAGGAATCGTCCCATGGTTTCGACTATCATAGGTTCCATGTCACACATTTTATCATCTAACATCATCGATATTCATCAGGCATAAACATATATTTTATTATGTATTTCCGGAAACACACAATTTCAAAAATATCACACTATTCATCATTTTGTAAATACATAAAATAATTCCATCTGTACTGAAAATCACTATTCCAGAGTGCTAGACACTTACCGGCATTTCTCTATATTCTGTTATTTATTTAATTTCATTGTATTTCTCCGATTTTATATATTTTTAGGCATAAATTATTTTCTTTATTTTCTTGACATTTGTGACACTTTAATGTTTTTTATCCGTTGCCATGGCTACCCATACTTTGATTCTTTTTAGTTCGATTCGAACGGTGTCTAAATTTAAATGGTTCCGGACCTATAAAAGGCCGAGCCTCCCTGATCTTTCATTCATTTCTTCGTCAAAAGTTGCCATTATAACTTTTGTTAGCTCGCTACCGAGCTCTAAATTAATAAAAGGCCTTGTCCCGGGGTCGACTGCCCCGAGACTCAAGAAAGGTCTCCAAAGCTCTACAGCACCTATTGGCTCGGCTCTCTAAACTTAACTCTAAACAAACTACTCTTCTCGTACTCTTCACCATACTCGCAACCTCATCGGCGGAACTGTCGCCCGGACTCCAGCTACCTCGGCCAGACTCCAACTGCTTCGGTCCGCCTTCCGCCGACACCTGCCGTTCCACCAGCTCCTGCCACCGGCCGATATCCGCCGGCCAACTAAGTATCGAGAGACGCCAGAACAGGAGCGCCTCTGCCTCCCAGGAGTGCCGCCCGTCTGCCAGCAGCACGTCCTCTAGACCTTCAAGCCTCCACGGAGAAGATCGCTGACGACCCACGCCCACTTCACCACTTCCACTTCACACCCCACACTTCACACACATACCATACCCTTTATTTTTTTTTATAATATGTAAATACTTTTTCTTGTAAATTATATATATATATATCTTATACCTACTGTTCTTCTGAATTTTCTTTACTTTTTTTTCTATATATTTATTTTGTCGCTAATGTGATACATGGATTATTAGTATTTTTGCTAGTACATAGTATATGTAAAGACAAACAGCCACGACCTAGAAACCAAATGCATATTCATCATACAAATATTTGCCTCAACCGAGATATGAACATCGGACCTCAGTGTGCGACTGACACCTGAAAACCCGTATGCATACACCGTTCTTGCACAGAGATCTACAACCAACTCAATAAACCAACGGCTACATTTTTATAACTAAAGTATATTTTTTTATACAAAGTGTACTCCTTCTTTAAAGGCCGGCATCGCATTTGTGATACTCCAGGTGTTGCAGGTGTCTATGGGCGACGGTGATCACTCACCATCAGGTGAGCCGTCAGCTCGTATGTATAATACATATAAAAAAAACGACGGGTTGCACTGCGGGAGTGCCGGCAGAAGTGAAAACTTTTGATATATTGGAATGGTTAGGGAATAATTTTGCACGAATTGCTTTAATTATCAGTATAAAAGTACTATCATTTATGTGGTAGAATACAATATTTATTTATTGCGCTATCGTACACAATCATGACAATTTATATTACATTAAAAAAGTTTATCTCTCAGAAAGATCTACTTACATGAATCACGTTTAAGCACACTTAGTGACATCTATTATAAAAAAATCAACGTACATGAATCACATTTAAGCGCACCTAGCGACATCTATTGTAAAAAATGCATTATATCAGGCCATGTGTCATGACGCGATCAGACCACATGTCCTGACACGAGTTTAACATTTTTTCCCCATCCAAAAAAAGTGTACAACGCTGCTAAAGAAGTTTTCACTTCAAAAAGTTTTTTAGAAATAAATCAACACGGCCTAACCTAGGTATAGGCTAGTAAATTCAATTAGGATTTTAGTTCTTCCAGCCTAAAATCATTATTGGAACGTTCGACAGTTGATTGACCTGAAGTATAATTGTGTCATAGTCACAGAACCGCCACAACATTGTTTCAGTCCGAGAGCATCAAGGTTGGTCCTTTCCACATAATCTGTGACCGCACATTAGTGCTTTCGCGTCGACCCTTGTTTTGCAGTGCGGCTGAGCTGCGCGTGAGATCATTACAACTCCGTTTACTCGCTCCTTTGCATCAAACTCGTTATTTAGTATATTCGCTATGGTAACCTTAACAGGAGTGATATGATAGGAGAGAAGAACTAGTTATTATGTGTCTAGATAAATGAACAGTGCTCGGATTTTATCTGACAAAAATAATAATATGGTAAGTAATTTTTAAAAATCTTTAGAACCGCTCTTACCAATAAACTTTGTTTACGACCAAACACTAAATTATTCTTTTCAAAATTGTGCCTAAGAATGTGATAAAAGAACATACTTTCTTCAAAATTTAACTTAAAAATTAATTAATTTAGATATTTTACGGCCGTTGCTGTCAATAAGCTACTCTCAGACAGAACGAAATAGTGGTAAACTTTAATAAAAAGTATTAATAGGCGAATATTAGGTACATAATGTTTAAAAATAGCAAACTCTTGGATAATATTTTCACCCGCCCTGTTCCAAAAACGTAAAATGTAACATAGAAAGCACCTACTTTTTATTTTTCGTGCAGATGTGAGTAAGAGTCGGACGAGGTAATTTCAGAAACTTTTTCCAGATTTCTTCTTAGTCTTAAGTATCTACTTAAATTCGATTCCAGATTTTTTTACTGATAGCTGCTTATATACTGTGTGTGTGGATTCCAAATTCACAAAATTTCTTTATACCCGAGAACATGCCCGGAAGCAGGCACTAGTTTGATAAATGAAATTATGTTGTAAACCTGTAATAGAAAAACTTAAATACATCTTATGTAGTGTGTGCTTTTTATAGTTTTTTTCTAACAATACTTTTAAATATTAGGGAAAAACTATTAAACAAACCTACTTTGTTACAAAACAAGAAAATATTATGAAAATATAAGTAATGATATAATGGGCGACATGAACTTTCGTATTAAAAGATTGTATATTTGCTTCTTATCGTAAATGCATCCATTCTTTAATTAAGCCATGCGATAATAGGGTCAAGCTTGTACAAAGACCTACAAACATCGTGTAAACTTTTTCATATAATACATGTTTATTGAGAAACAAATGACACGACACGAGTAATTGTCTCATAAGTTAATATACAAATATGAATGAATGCCTTAAATATACCAAAAAGATAGTTAATACGCAATAAATACAGTTTATAATACACCTTTAGTTGATTTAATAATCAACTATAATGGTTATATTTAATCATAGCATAATTGCTATCTATAGTTTTATCCATTTCTTCGACCTTTTTTACGTTCAAGTGGGTTTCATCCTGCTTTCATATTTGTCCGGATTCTTTTAGCATAGTAAGTATGACACAATTAATATCAAGTATTTATTCTACAAATCCGCCACACACAGATTTACTTTTTTGTTACTAAAACATTCGGACTTCTCCATCCACCCGTATGTAGTAAGTCAGGATTTTCTTAAGATTTATCTAATTTTTTAATAGTCTGTTTCGTTGCCCTTATTGGAGCACGAACCGAGACATAATTATTTATATTTCAAATTAAAAAAGTGAAGTTTAAAATCTTTAAGACTACATTTTGCAACTGAACGGCAAATTACAATATTTGTTTGAGATTACACAAATTTGTAACACAACGCCTGACTAAATACTCCTTTGATGTTGCTTGTTTACTCAATAATTGATCGCATAATTGTCTCAATCCCTAACTTAATTATATACGGATAGGCAATAATATATAAGTATTAAGACAGCTCATTTAGTGAGGCTTATCAAATCTCAAATATAATTGAGATCTGTCAAAACAAATAATAAGTTTCTAAGTCAATTTTAATTATGGATATTCAAACTAAACTGTTTCTTATAGTTTTAATTTACTAGGAGATAACCACTTTATTTCATTATATGTATGTCCTAGCTGCCAGGATTTATCTTTTAATTTCACATTAACTTTTTTAATCTAGGTACGTTATCTGTACCTGAAATTTGCTTGGTGTCATTTTCACATTTACCTGAAAATGTGATATTTACATTTTTAATACAGTATAACGAAACCAATATTCTTTGACGCGATGTAACAACAATAATATGAAGCTATGTTCTGTTTTTAATGTTTTTATCCTATTGTAACCGTGAATGTAACAATTATTTAGCGAAACGCCTCTGTCATTTAAGAATTAAAATCTCTAGTTAGTTGGCTCTAAGCTTGGGTACTCAATTTGACTTAGAATTTCTAAATATCTACGTGTCAGTTTAGGAAGAAGAAAATAATCAAAGATCCACTTAATACCGCATCATAATATATTTGCACAAAAAATCGATTTCAGATCTTAGAGATTCCATTTCGCAGAGAAAAACAACTTCGAGTGATCATTTATCATTATTGAAAACAATGTCGGACCTACAGTATTACCTTGTCTGACTCCAGATCTTCGCAAGTATTCTGCAAACTCATTATACTCATAAATATGACACAAAAAGGAAATAATGAATGCAATAGGTTTGGTGTTATGCTAAATAAATGGTTACTTTGATAATAATTATTTTATTCACATAATTAGTCGAATGCTTTCATTAAGTTGAAGTAAGGCATGGATTTCACGTCGTGAGTCCATATCCACCACATTTCCACAGTATAATCAACCAGCTCGATTAAATTTATCTTGGTCGAATGAATATTATGAAAATCGTGTTGCTTACAATGTTGCTGATTCGCTGGCTAATGTACCTAACTATTCTGAAATAGGCTAAAATAACTGTTTCAATACCAGAAGAGAAGGCGATTGAATTGGTGTCTATATCAAAACGTATCAGTATCGTTTTAAAATGATAATTTGAATAATTAATAATATATTTTAAACATTGTGACTAACGTACTATAATCTTTAGTTTATTCGTTTGTTTATGGTGTCATAAAATAATATTTAATTAATAGCTGTCCCAGCGAACTTCGTACCGCCATAAAAAAATGAGTGGTAGAAGGGTGAAAATTTAGGGTTGTATGTATTTTTGTATGATGTATCATAAAAAAAATATTATCTAAAATTTAAAAATAAAATTTAGGGGTGGATTACCCTTAACATTTAGGGGGATGAAAAATAGATGTTGTCCGATTCTCAGACCTACCCAATATGCACACAAAATTTCATGAGAAACGGGAAAGCCGTTTCGGAGGAGTTTAACCACAAACACCGCGACACAAGAATTTTATATATTAGACTAGCTGTCCCAGCGAACTTTGTGCCGCCATAAAAGTAGGGATTGGTAGCAGAAGGGTGAAAATTAAGGGTTGTATGTATATTTGTACGATGCATCATAAAAAAATTTAAAAAAAAATATCTAAAATGATTGATATGGGCTGCTGTTGTTCGAAATAAATAATTTTTATTTTATTTTATTTATTATAAAATTGAAAAAAAAAATTTTAGGGTGGATTACCCTTAACATTTAGGGGGATGAAAAATAGACGTTGTCCGATTCTCAGACCTACCCAATATGCACACAAAATTTCATGAGAATCGGGAAAGCCGTTTCGAAGGAGTTTAACCACAAACACCGCGATACGAGAATTTTATATATTAGATAGATCATAGACCTTTGAATTAAATAAAAGACATGTTTTTCATTTATTCAAGACAAAAGTCAATGTCAGTCAATCAATGTCGCATGATAATCATGCGACATATTATAATAAAAGGATATGATTTGGCTATATTCTTCCGCAGCGAGGTTTCACAAAATGTTAATAGAAACAAATGACACAAAATTTGTTAACAAAGCAACAATAAAACGTAAAGGCAAGAAAAATTTATAGTAAGTACCGCATTAGTCGGTCAAGGTAGCGCAAAAACTACACATAACCTATTTCATAAAGATTACAGAGACTGAACAGATATAAAACTTTTACCATTTTTTAATTTCCAAAAAAAATGTTAAAAGCACTAGTAAGCAAAAATTTTGTGGGGTCTCTCCGCTCGTTTTGTCCAGCTCTGTGGCTCACCGAAATAAACGGGACTCCACCTACTTAAAATCAGACAACTCGTCACCCTTCATGTATTTGAGGACCAAGGTCTCAGAAATGCGTGCCAAGAGTACAAGCGTGTTCATGGCACTCAGTTACGTTACGACTGGTTATGCACCCGCAGGTGGTCTACTTACCTACACTTCGGCCCTTAAACAACTAGTCGGTAGTCATTTGGAACCGGGACTTGTGGTCCTAATGGGGACATGGAATTAATAAATTATTTTGAGGTAGCATTCGGGACCGAAATTGTGGTCCCAAATACCACCACAATTGAATAATTATATTGAGTGGTACTTATATTGGGACCACAAATATAATCTAAGTTCCTATCTTCATTTTTAATGTCGGGAAAGAACAGTCAAATAAAAAACGGCTTTATCGGAGCAAAAGAATTAATATGTTTATAAACTTAATTTACATAGCCACATCTCAACGATGAATAGTTCACTGATAGTTCCATGTCCGTTGATAGGTTTTTACTATCTGCACCGGTAAGTACCCAGAAATCATGTTTGCTTTCGTGGGTAGTCGGAAACCAAATGTATAAAATATTTTTAATAAATTCGCCGATTCGCATGGCTTTATTCTTTATTGTTCTGTTTTCATATGCCACGTCTACGCAGATGATTCAATCATCAAACATCTGCATTGAATCAGGATTGATCAATCAAGTTGAATAAAAAAACACAATCAAGGAAAGAAAGTTTAAGACGTTCTTTACTTTATTGTCATTTTCTATTCAAAATCTATCGTAATTATTTTGACTGCAATGACCTCATAAAACAGATTTGTATTCGCATTCCCAGTAGTTCAAAGCGTATCAGAGATCCCTATGCTCATATTTAAACTATTTTCCCCAAACAGTGCAGAACGAATGCAGGTGAACGCGCACCCCTACATCGAATAATGAACTTTTTCAATGACAACCTATCTGGTTTCGATTTGGACTTGTCTACAATGTCTATTTTTCAATATATAAAAGCCATTAATTATTGTTTTCCAAAACTTTAAAAAATGTGTTTTTTAACTTTTAAATAAACCCATCGATTTGCAACGAAAATAGATATTACAAACTTATCATATTTTTTAATAATATAATCTTTGTGTTGAGATATATTTTAGTGGACAACGATGTTGGTTGTGTAATGAATGACATCAATATATATAATAGCGTTACTACATTACATACGATATTGCACAATTGTTTGTTTATATAAGTCTAGCTATTCAAAGGGGGAACGCTGCCAGTATCTTTGGAACCTTGCCTAAAGGTACTCCTTTTAATAATGTATTTTAGTTTTTTTTTTTTTTAGTTTTAGTTATTACATTATATTTTTTGAGGTTCTTAGTTTAAGTTTCATTGTTCCTGTATATATTATTATTGTTTAAATAATATTGTTTGTTATCCTAACTAAAATAAAATAAAAAATTAAGCAAGGAAAAAATAACTACCACTTATACTTTGTAGCAACAATTAGCCTTTAATTTTAGAGTAGAAGCCGGCTACATCACGCAACAGATTTGTTCATTCCATAGGTATCTATCAAAACGTTCCAGTTCCTGCATTTTTAGATCACTGGGTAAACATTGTAGGGATTGTGCTTCCATTGTTACGACAAAGAATGCTCGTTGCGCACAAAGCAGCTTCCTTTAAAACATCCTCATCACGAAATCTTGTTAAAAACTGAATGACCTTCGGTTCAGTTCAGATCAGGCATTTGGTACTCGAATTCGGGCATCCAAAGCCATATTATACTGGAATACGGGCTGGAGGAGCTCGATGGCGCAAGTGGTTAGCGCGTTCGGCTGCGGTCGTTGAAGTTAAGCAACTTTCGCAGTGGTCGGTCATTGAATGGGTGACCAAAAATTAACTATCTCGAGCTCCTCCGTGCTTCGGAAGGCTTAACGTGCAGCCGTTGGTCCCGGCTGCATCTGCAGTCGTTAGCATACACCAATCCGCACTGGGCCCGCGTGGTAGGTCATGGCCCAATCTCCCTATCCCATCCATAGGGAAGGCCTGTGCCCCAGCAGTGGGGACATTAATAGGCTGATGATGATGATGATGACGGGCTGGAAGGTGGTGTCGGATAACCAAGGAAAACAAACGAGCAGGGAAACGGCAAGGCGACATCGATTCACGGTGGCAGTTCCAAAGACTCGCACTAAGCGATTCGCGTCTAGCTTCATCGTGCGAACTGCCAAACTGTGGAATTCCTTGCCTGAGCCCTTGTTCCCCGAGCACTACAATCTAGCGGTCTTCAAAGCAAGAGTGAACCGGTTTTTATTAGGTAAGCGCGGTCCATCGTTGACCATAATATTGCTTTCCATCAGGCGAATTATGGTCAAGCGCTTACCTATTACCGAATAAAAAATAAAAAAAAACCAAATCGAAAACTACTGGAATACGGGCTACCGACTCCGTTCATTTACATTACTCGTTACCTGAATTTCATTGGCACTCGTATTTGGGCTAGCAATTAAATGTAGTCGTGCCGTAAGTGTAAATGAATAAGGTCGACTACGCCCGTATGCCGGTAGTTTTCAGGTAGTCGGGCCCGTATTCCAGTGTAAATCCTTACTTCCTTACTTATATTATAAAGGCGAAAGTTTGTTTGGATGGATGTATGGATGGATGTTTGTTCCTCTTTCACGCAAAAACTACTAAACGGATTTTAATGAAACTTTACAGTAATGTAGCTTATAGATCAGAATAACACATAGGCTATAATTTATAAAGATATTGTGTGAATTGTCCAAAATATATAACGATAAATGTCATTTAAGTCTGAAAAAATTCTGCAATCTGCGAGCTATTCAGGCGTGTGCTGCAAAAACTGTCATAATGTTAGTTCTTTTCACGCTAATATAAGCTACTCGAAATACTAATACTGCGCACACGAAGTCGCGGGCACCAGTTATTGATACATAAAGACCTTGCTTTTATTCGAATTACACGCAGACGAAGTCGCGGGCAAAAGCTAGTATTGGTATATTTACACTGATATAATCGAGCCATTAGTCGTTTAGGCTGAGCGCAGATTAGAGTCACGACAGACTTAAGACAGACTATTGCTTAACAAAAATTATGAAGATGCGCACATTTGAAACGAAACGTCTCATAGAAAAAAAAGACTTATGTACACAAGAACTGCAATGCGACAAGTCTGACTAGCGACTATCCGCTTCCCTTTGTAATGAATGCGAGGGATCACACCAACGACAAAATTGTCTAGCGATAGGGATGATGATCGATATCGAAATAAGTACAATACATACGATAAAATAAGTAATATGTGGGTCCATAAATTTTGACAAATTATCAAGGGTACATAAGTACATTCATTCGAAATTACTGGCAAAACTTACTGGACTGGTGCCTTAATTTACTATATCACACTAATATTATAAAGGCGAAAGTTTGTGAGTGTGTATGTTTGTTACTTCATCACGTCTAAACGGCTGGAGTGATTTTAATAAAATTCGGTATGGAGTTTGCTGTCACCCTGGATGAACACATAGGCTACGATTTACTGCGGGTAAATATCGATAATAAGCCGCGGGTAACACCGCGGGGCACAGCTAGTAATAAATAATCGGTGAAATCTATTCTGATACTGATGAAATGGTGTGTGTCGCATAGTAAACAAAACAGTTTCGTCTTGGTGTGCGCCTTGTGGTGGACACAACTGTTTCTTTTTTGAAGTTATACTTCTTTAGGCGCGTTATGAAAAAATGATGAGAGTGAAATATTTAGATGCGCGCGCATCACTGTAACCCAAAAGTAACAGCATGAAGTTGGCCGCGGGCGCGTTATGAAAAAATCATGTGAGTGAAATTTCGAGATGCGCGCGCATCACTGTAACACAATAGTAACACCATGAAGTTGGCCGCGGGCGCGTTATGAATGTTAGTGTCTAATATTATTAGACATCTGTTCGAAAGGTACATTGAACGATCCACGGAGCTCCATAAGATGATCGCGTTGTCAAAAACAATGTTGGCATGCTAGTCGCCTCTGATCACTGTTTTCATATTTATAATATTTATCCACATGTTTCTAACAAATAAACGCAAAATTACAAACAAGAATTTTAAATAAAATACTTTATTAAGTAAATTAAATAATAAATTCATACATAGACAATAAAACTTAAAAATCGAACGATGAAATAACCAAACGCTCAATAAAAGTCTTTCGAAGGTAGCTCGACAAATTAAACAAAAGTTTTATTCTGACGACGAAGCCTGGAAAGGCTACGAAACGTCAATAAATAAATAAAGTTTCGTGCATTATCCCGTTTAAACTAGTTTTATTTAATGAGTGATGTGCGTGAAAACCTAAGAAACAAACACATGTTTCTAGTTTCTATATAGACACAACGTGTTTTAGTTACTTACAAGTGCTAATTACATATGGACTAATAACTTAAATTCAGTAGTGATTTTAATTGAATATTTTGAATATTTATTTAATTTTTCAAATTAAAACTGAACTTAATTGACTGTGTTAACTATCCTTTTCCAGTCCTTTTATTATTTTATTGTAATTATTAAATATTTGCATGCAATTAAAAAATATTTTTAATGATGCTAAAGAAGTATAACTTCTCACGCGCGTACATAAGTTACACGCATCCATTTTTTTATTGTAAAGCTGTCTCGTCTATGTAAGACATGATTGTCTAACAACTGTTGTGACTATAGTCTGCGCTCATTCTTACCCGAATTCCATCGGTACTCGTATTCGGGCTAAAGACCAGGTGTTACCTCGCCTGACTTAATTTTCCATTCTGCAACTATTTATTTTTGTTATGTTCTAGATTAACAAAGAGATGCGTTCACCGTTTCTAGAAATCATATTCCAAGCAGAGATCAGCAGATACGAAGATTCTGACTTCGAGGAACTGGCCCGTATAAACTGCTATGAAGACCCAAAAACCAGATCGAAACTCATCCAAGAACTGCGCAATATGATAATTGGTAAATCTTCTTAATTTTTACTAAGATCTGCATTATTTTACTAATTTTACTATAGTAGGTACGAAACTCTAGCGTTGACCGTTATTGTGCAGAAGTAAAAAAATAAGATGTCTTGGGGGGAAACGAGGTGCGCGGGTGGGCGTGCGTTGCGCCGATTGGCTCTCCAATCGTACCCACACGCAACTATCCACTCCGCGTTTTGTTCAGCGCTAGAGTAACGTGCCGCGACCTTTTTTTTCGATGACGGGGAGAAAAAATGCATTATATCCACGACAATGACCAACGCCGCGTTAGTTTGCTGTCAACAAACTCTCGCGACGCAGGTAATTGCGTGGTGCATTCGGCAAGCGGCGACCTGGAACCCTCACAGGTGTTTCCAATAAACTATCGCTGATAGTACCTAATTACAATCAAAGGTTAGTTATTAAACCAACTTATAGTAATATAAGTTATTTAAGGGATTGCTACCATGTACCTTGTTTTTATCGAGTTTCCGGTATTTCGGCATTGCTGCAAGCGCCATGATCACGGAGTAACTGAAGTAATTGCGGGTAGGCTATTATTGGCAGACATATCGGTCTACCCTCCGACGAAGTCATTTATTGCGTTCGATACCCGTACCACTGTTCACATTCTCACTATTCACTCGAAACTGTTCTCGACACATAACACTTACAGTATCGGATCGCGACACGACATTTTTTTGATTATTTCCGGTTTTACACATACGAACCACAGGATTCCAGACACAAATATCGGAAACTCGCTAAAAACAAGGTACATGGTAGCAATCCCGTAAATAACTTAATTATATTACTATAATGTTAGTGACCATGAAAGTTTAAACCAACTATTATGATCTTCCAATTCATCGGCATATGCGTATCTATTCCGTACGTGGTGTAGTAAAAACTTGTCTTGTACTCTCGAAACTAGATAACATAAGGCTTATTTTTATGGGCACTTCAACAAAGCATCTAATGTTTCACATATTTTTAACACATTGAATAAATTCAAGTTACCTATGCCTTTTCGTTATTTTTGGTGTTCTATACATCAAAAGAAAAAAAATACGGAACTCGTCTAAGATCATTTTGTCGGTCTGTCTTTTAGGCTGTCAAAACCATCAGGTAGTTGTGAGGTATCAAAGTGAAACTATTGCAAATCTTAATCTGAATCTTACAGTCAAACGATATGGCCGTTTATGCCGTATATTTTGATGATCGCAAGAGAATCAAAATTATCCGTACTTCCCGTTGACATATGCTATACTCTCTAATTAGGACGAATATAATATACAATGTATGTATAATAATTATATAATGTAGTTACCTACTACTAAACTAAACTAAAGTGTAGTTTTTATCTTCTTCTTATTTAATTTTGCTGTTGTTTTTCAATGACGGTCTTTCAAAAAGTATATAAATAAATAATATTGTATGATATAAAAGTGAGACGGACTTAACTGGTTTTAATTTTCAAATAGTCATCAAGAAGGACTTGTTCAAAAAACAGCAATAAAAATTCAATTGCCAACATTACCCATCCGGTTTTCATTGTTTAATTTCATTCATTTAATTTATGACTTTCTAAGAATCATTTAAATGGTTTCTTCTTTTTTTAAATATTTGTAATAATAGAAAAAAGGATTTATATTTTTCTTAGGTTTTCACGCACATCACTCATTAAATAAAACTAGTTTTACGGGTTAATGCACGAAACTTTATTTATTTATTGACGTTTCGTAGCCTTTACAGGCGTCAACGTCAATAAATAAATAAAGTTTCGTGCATTAACCCGTAAAAACTAGTTTTATTTAAGGATTTATATTCTTGTGAAATGTCTATTGCGGCGAATTTGAACGCTCGTAATGGCTAATACAGACAATCTTGATCAGTGAGCATCTACACCGTAGTGAAGGTGTATAATCTACACCGTAATTTAAGCAACATTGTAAGGACTCCGTGTATGAAAGCGGTATATTGTTTGATGCAGTAAGTGGTTCTGATCTCAAGCTGCAATCTATTTCAAGATTTTATTCCTCTTTCAAGATGGATTTCTCAAGCTGTGCCCCGCGGTGTTACCCGCGGTTTATTAGAGATATATTCCCGCAGTAAAACGTAGCCTATGTGTTAATCCAGGGTGTCAGCTAACTCCATATCAAATTTTATAAAAATCTCTCCAGCCCTTTAGACGTGAAGAAACACACACACAAACTTTCGCCTGTATAATATTAGTGTGATTATCCTTTGTTTTTTTTTCTTATGAAAGATATGTTTCGGGTTTAACCCCTTGCAGATGTACACGGACTGTACGTTTCCTATATTCATGTGGTACAGCGACGATAAAGCTAACTATTTTTTTAAATTAACGACTGCAGATGCAGCTGGGCAAAAACGGCTCAACGTGCCTTCCGAAGCACGGAGAAGCTCGAGATTATACATTTTAAGTAACCCATTTTGAAAGTGACTTTAATGAAATAAAGAGCAGGAAGATAAATCCTATGTACAACGAAGGGGACTCCATGATGACTGTTCTGAGTCATAGCATAGCGTCGTCCTTAAACCTAGAGAGGTTGCGAAAGCTGAGTTAATGGACACTCGTGGGCCTCTGGACCGGCACAACCTGTTTCATTCTAAAATAAGAAACTTCTGTTTCATGAAAAGAGACAACAAACTTATAAACGGTTTCACCTTGACCCTTGTTACAGATAATGAGCAATTTTGTAGACTAATTACAAGGTCAATTTAGGCTTTACTTGAAACACTATCACATTCAACTAAGCCGTTCACCTACGTAGACTTGACACATATTCCATCGTGCGTACATGTTTCGGAATTAATTACAGAATGTTTGAGTCAAACAATGGTTAGATTTGTGATATCATTGGTTATGTAAGAATATTATTTTATGTTGATTAAAAACTAGTTCACACGAAAGAGTTGTAGTAGCTTTTGGTCAAGGTTTCCATATCATAACGGTAATAAATGCAGGATAGGTGCTTAATACTAAAAGTGACACGAAAATCAAAATTAATGCTAGAAAAATCAAGTTTGTTTGTAACAATTTCTTTAAAATCAATATTAAGTACTTAATAGATTTTAAAATTATGCGATTGTTGATTTTGTATGAAAATTACGATCTCATTGAAAAGACTGTTTGATTAATAAATATAGCATAGAGTTAATTTAAATTATACAAACAATTCCTTAAAAATAATAATAGAAACAAATCATGTCTACTATTTATTAAAATAATACCCTTAAAATGTCAATGTCAAATTTTATATGGAAACTTGAACAGCAGCACCACAAAGTACGTAACGAGAACTAAAAATCAGTACACACTTAACAATGACATTTCGGGCTCGCAAACGTTACGAATTCGATATTGGTTCGTGCTAGGGTACAGAATTGACAGTGTTGATGTCTAGAGTCAAAGGTCAACTTATGTTCTGTGATCAACTATCGATAGACCTGCAACACAAATTCTGCTTTGCTGTATTTTTTTTCGGTTGCGTAAACAGAGGCTTGTGACCGCACAAAAGTCGTCGTTATTAAACTAGTGATTAGAATACTAACCGGAGGTACCTACAGTGAGCCCGTCCTGTACTTTTAATGCTAGTTGTTCCCACGGTGCTGGCCGTGTGAAATCCAATTTCCAACTTCAAGAAAAGTAAAAAAATGCCGACTGTTCCGTGCAGTAAGTGCACAACATAAATGGTCGTATCTTTTTTAAATAATCTTAGGAGTTAGATTCTTAACAGCTTTAAGGAACTATAGGTTATATGGTTTAAATTTCAACTCATTACCTCTACATGTTTTTGAGAAAAAAGGGTCTTGACCAGCGTTGCCGAACATAGGCCTCTCCAAATGCACGCCACTCGATCTTGGGCTACTCGCATTCAGCTCCTGCCCTGCCCAAATCGTCACTCCATTGCACCTGAGAACGTCCTACACTACGTTTGCCTAGACGCGGTCTCCTCTCCAGAACTCGTCTACCCCAACGGTTATCGGTTCTTCGACAAATATGGTCAGCCCACTGCTACTTCAACTTGCTAATCCGGTGGGCTATGTCGATAACTCTGGTTCTCTGTTGGATGACCACATTTCTGATGCGATCTTTCAGAGAAACACCGAGCATAGTCCTTTCTATAGCGCGCTGAGCGACTTTGAGCCTGTGGACCAGCCGTACCGTCAGTGTCCACGTCTCGGCTCCGTATGTCATCACAGGTAGGACGCACTGATTGAAGACTTTCGTCTTTAGGCGGCATTTGGAGAGGCCTATGTTCAGCAGTGGACTAAAATAGGCTATTGATGATGATGATGAATGATGACCAGCGTTGCCAGACGTCTCGATTTTTAAATCCAAATTAAATGTCCTGCGCGGGACAGGCTCAATCCCGCATTTCCCGCGGGAATAACTCGACCGTGCGTGTAGGGTACTGAGAGTAATCAGCGTAAAAAGATTTTAAGTTGTTATGCTATGTCCCGCTTTCGACGAAAGAATCCCGCTTTTTTCACTCAAAAGGTTCCTAAATCCCGACTTGGCAAAAAAAACTGGCAACGCTGGTCTTGACAGTCATAAATATAAACGGTCTAACCTTATATCACGTTTAGTTAGAAGTTTACTATTTCACAGCTTCACAGACCGTAGATCAGTACCCCTAGCACGAACCATTATCGAATTCGAATAGTTTGCAAACCGAAATGTCAATGTCAAATTTTGTATGGAAACTTGAACAGCAGCGGCACAAAGCACGTAACGAGAACTAAAAATCAGTATACATTTCACAATGACGTTTCAGACTCGCAAACGATACGAATACAAATTTCCATACAAAATTTGACAATGACATTTCGGACTTGCAAACTATTGGAATTCGATGATGGTTCGTGCTAGGGGTACTAAAGGTTACAGTACAGCAGTAACAGCAGCGCCATAACGGACGTAACGAGAACTGAAAATCAGTACATATTTGACAATGACATTTCGCACTCGCAGACTATTCGAATTCGATATTGGTTTGTGCTAAGGGTACAGATCTAATTATACAGTTTCAACTTCAACTTAATACCTGTACGAGTTTTTGAGAAAAAAGGTTTCGGAAAGGACAGACAGGCAACAACGTGATCCTATAAGGGTTCCGTTTTCCTTTTGAGTTACGGAACCCTAAAAAGATGCAAAATGAAGGATAGCATTTGCCTCAGAAATCAGAATAATAATTTATTATTCTGAGGAATATGCCCAGTCCATCCTGGAACTGTAGTTGCTTTGTTAACAAGAGGCAAACAAAGATTCTAAGTATCGATGAAAGAATAAGAAATCTTTGCTAAGTATAAACTACGTTGGATTTACAAACACGGAACTCCATCCCAAATCAATTAAAATCAACCTCTTATCCCAGTATTAATTTTATTGGAGGATCATACTTGACCAAATATTTATACCCTAAAAGCTGGCAGCTATCTTCACGGTAATATTATCTATACAGTATTGTGACTGGGCCCTGTTCTTGAAATAACTGCCTACGGCCGAGCTGGGCGTATCCACGGGGTAGGGCTGCCCGCCTACAGTATTTTAATTTCATCTACATAGGTAATTGAGTTTCTTTCTAGTTTTGTGATCGTATTTTATATTGACGTTATAAGTTGATAGTAACCTTTATTTTTTTCACTCAAAAGTTTATTTTTTTCTTCTTGGAGCATTTAATTTTTAATTTTATTTCATATTTTAATGGAGCAACGGAGCTGAACTCGCATTCGTTATCTTCTTTCATTAGTCCTTTCATTTGATTCCCATATTCTATGAGTGCAATGAAAATAAGTAGTCCGCCATCTTGGATGTTCCGCCATCTTGGATGTTCCGCCATCTTGGATGTTCCGCCATGTTGGATTTAGAGTAACGTCACTTTATATTTCGAGCTATTATCCGCAAGCCCTTTAATTTTATACCCATATCGTAGGAATGCATTAAAATAACTATTTCGCCATGTTGGATTTAGAATGACGTCACACAGCTAACCATGCTTTTTAATCAAAACGTGTATACACAAAATTTCAGCTTAACCGGTTGAAGATATCTGCTTCAACATTGAGTTGCATGATTCCATCCAATTTAAACATCTAGCAGTTAAATGCCTAAAAAAATATATAACGATAATTTGCTTTTTTCAGAGCGAAAGGAATGCCAGCCACACCGAATGGACGACGCTTACATGCTCAAATTTCTGCGTTGTCGCAAATTTATACCTGCGCTTGCGCATAAACTGGTAAATATAATATTTGGCACTTGGCTATTTGTACTTATAACGCGATTCAAATAAGAATAGGAAAGCCAATGACCTCTATTTGTCAAATGTCGCTTGAAAAGTACGGTTTGGAAAAAAAAAATCTTGGTACCCTTTTTTAGCACAACGCTAATTCAAGAATAAATACCAAACATTTGTAAACAAACAATAAAAAATATTGATAATTAATATCTGTTGATATTATTTTTTCACTTATTGAGCTTTGGCCATGAATGGTTGATAACCTAAATCGTCAACCAAATGTCACTTTAAGTTGCGTTTAGAAACTCGATTTCAAACTTTCGTTTACAGTGACAATATGAATTATATAATATATTTAATTTACAACAATATGGTGCAATATGAATAAATTTAAGAATAATTATAGCAAAAAATATACTATAACAATAAACCTAAAACTAAAAACCTTAAAAAATATAATATAATAACTAAAATACATTATTAAAAGGAGTCCCTTTAGGCAAGGTTCCGAAGATACTGGTAGCGTTCCCCCTTTGGATAGCCAGACTAATTCTTTGTCCGAGGTAGCTGCCAGCTCTTCGGTCTCCTGTGATGTCGACTAATCTTTTCGCTATTTCTTTAAAAAGCCTTATAGCGCTAGGATCCCACGGACCAAGGGATTATTATTATTATTCGTTTACATAAGGATGCATGTTCGTATGTGACCTAGTAATAGTGCATGATTATTCATAACTACTCCGGCAGTAATGCAGAGATAAGCCCAATAGATGAGCTAGATTCTGATTAATGTATTTATTTATTTTATTAGACACACTAATAACAATATCACAATTATTACATAAAAAGAAAAACAAATGGGTATTACAAGTCTATGTGAATTATTTTTTAAGGTGCATACAGCAATTTCCATACATTTTTTGGCAGAATATAAACCTCTAAAGTTATTCTCCAAATATCTACATGAGGTAAGTTAATTGTTACTCATAGAGGTATTTGTTACACAATCGAAAATATTTTCTTATTCAGTGATGAGAAAGATAGGTGACAGATATCAATGTCATCGGATTTATCGTTACACGTCTCCATCAATCGACTTAGGGGTGCTACTATCTTGGTTCGGAAAAACGGTTTTGTAAATGGCAAGATTGGATAACGTGGAATTCTTTTTGAAACTGTGAAATTTATTTCAGCAAGCATATCAGGTACATTAATATTTCCATTAACTAACTTATGAAGCAACAAGATGTCGGCACATTTTCTTCGTTTCTCCAGAGTGTCAATTTTTAAATGTTTCAGACGATTTTCATAATTAGCGCGATAGGGAGAGTTAATTTTGTGAATTGGCGCTGGTTTCATTCTATTCTTTCTTTATGAATTTTGTACTGTGGATTCCACACGCAAGAGGCATATCCCAAAACAGTATGAACGAGAGAACTGTACAAGCACAAAATTGCAGTTGAATTATGAAAATCCCTGCAAATCCTTTTCAAAAAACCCAACATTCTCCACGCTTTATTAATAATAACGTCAACGTGGTTTACAAAAGTGAGTTTTCCATCCAGTATGACACCCAGATCACGAATGGCTTTGACCTGAGATAGTTGCTTGGAGTCAATTGAATATGTAGGTGTGTGAATAATTTTATTTTTAGTAAACTTAATTACAAAACATTTATCCGCATTGAGTACCATTTTATTGGAATGGCACCACTCTTGTATAGCATCCAGATCATTTTGCAATAAATTTACATCATCTTGACTTTTAATTGACCGATATAATTTCAAATCATCAGCAAATATCGAGCATTTGCTATGTTTAACTATTTCAGGTATGTCATTAACAAAAATTAGAAAAAGCAAAGGACCCAGAATAGAGCCCTGAGGAACTCCTGAAGTTGCCGTGAAAGATCTGGATGTATAACCGTTAATAACGACCCTCAGCATCCGATGCTTTAAATACGATTTAAACCACAAAAGCAGGGGTCCATGAATGCCGTACCGTTTTAACTTGTGGATTAAAATATTATGGTCCACCTTGTCGAACGCGCTGCTGAAGTCTGTGTAAATAGAGTCCACCTCACCACCGCAGTCGATAAGTTTGCTTAATTGATTCGTGTAACATATAAGGTTAGTCACCGTACTTTTCTTCGGACAACAGCCATGTTGACTCTCGCTGAGGAACGTTTTGCAGTGAGTATTTAAAATAGGACATATGATTTTTTCAAATATCTTGCTAAAAGTATTTAAAATTGACACCGGCCTGTAGTTAACAATATCATATTTCTCACCTTTTTTGAAAATTAGAACTATGTTAGTTTCTTTCAGTGTATCCGGAAAAACAGAAGTATTGAGAGAAGCTGAAAAAATTATCTTTAGAGGCAGCGCGATATATTTACAGGTTTTCTGAATGAAAATAGGAGGAATTCCATCTAGGCCTGCATCCTTACATATATCTAGCCTTGAGATAATTTCCACTATCATACGTTCTGTAATACTGATGCTACCCAAAGAGAGCTGCGGGTACATCTCACAGGATACAGCGTTTTCCGTTGTTTGCCCGCGGTTGCTATGAGAGTAAACACTGGAAAAGTATTTCGCAAACAGATTGCACACCGCGTCACCCGAATTTGCAGTTTCAGAATTTAAGTGAAGTTCTTTGGGAATTTCAGAACTACCACCACGCAAATTTTTGACGTATGTCCATATACTTTTGGAATTACGGGTTATTTTATTTTGGATATTATTTAGATACTCATGATGGCATTTTTTCATAAGTTTTTCTACTCTTCTACTGGCACATTTTAGTTCCACAAGATCTCTTGGGTTTGCATATTTTTTAAAGCGTGATCTTATTTTGTCGCGTTCGCGTTTTAATTTAATCAAAGTACCTGAGAACCATGGCGGATATTTCTTATTACGGACTTTAATTTTTGGAACATGGGATTCAATTATTTCTCTTATGATAGAATAGAAACTACTCATCATGACATTGACATCTTCACCACTTAAACGCGTCTGCCAATTCACCTGAGCCAACTTTTTATTAAGAAGAGCATAATCTGCACGGTTAAAATTATGTGTTGCATATAGTCTACTTTCAAGAACTGGTGTTGCCTTATGCGCAACAACAATTTCAAGCGCAGGGTGAAAACCGTCAAGTTTGCTCAGGATATTGACAGATTCTATGATATTGACATTGACACTAGTGATGTTAGTAAGTACCAGATCTAATATTCTTTGCGTTTTATTTACAACATGATTAGCTTGATGTAAATGATTACGAGAAAGAAAGTTCATAAAAGTATATCCTAATGAACTCTCATAATTTGATGGCGACATATATACATCCTCGGCATTCCTAGTCCAATTCAAAAAGCTTAAGTTAAAATCTCCAATTATTAGAACTTCAGTGGTATTAGCGTCAATGACCCTGTTGATGTTTTCCATAATAAAGTTTAAAACATTGTATGAAACAGGTGGGGGCACGTAAACAGCACAAATGAAAAGGTTCATCACTGCCTTATTTACTAAAGTTTTTCAGATATCCAAAGATCCTCATTGTCACTCTCATAATATCTTAAACGTTTCGTTTCTAAATGTTTCGAAACCGCTATTAAAACTGCGCCTCCTCGCTTGTTTCTCGATGAAGTTGATTGTCTATCACTTCTATAAACTGTATACTTATCATTAAGTACGTCATTGTCGTTAATATTTTCATCCAGCCATGTCTCTGTAGCGACTATGATATCATATGAGTTATTAAGCGAAGCTAATCTTATATCAGGTAATTTTGTTCGCATGCCACGAACATTTTGATAATATACATGAAGTATTTTTAATGGTAGATGTACGGTCCAAGTTATTGCACTATTTATTTATTTACTTTTTATTTATTTATTACTATTTTCTTTAGTATCGATTAAATCTTGTAAGGATTTGATTTGGGAGGCTGGTGATTCATCATCTTTACGGATGAATATATGGCCATTTCGGATCCACACATACTTGAAGCCCTTTTCTCGAGCTAATTTTCTCGTTTCAGCGTGAAGTCCCTTCATATGTGGGCTGAGATGTTCAGTCACATAAACCGCTGATGCATCTCCACCGTACCCCAGATGACCTGAGTTCAGCTTTTCCTTTGGATGGGCTTTATTGAATTTTACAACTGCCGCCAAAACACCATCCCTAACACGTGCACTAGCTAGTTTAACTATTACAGAACGTGGTCTTTTAGTTTTCTAAACTTCCTAACCCTGCTGTATGACAAAATATCGGAGTCTTCTAAAGGATGAGATATTGCATTACCTAGTTGTTTAAGCATGGCCGGAATATTTTCGGATTTACTTTCCGGGACGTCATTTACCTCGATGTTACTTTCGCGGCAGTACTGTTCGATCAAGTTTAATCTTGTTGACAATTCATGTACAGTAGTTGAAAGCTTGATATTATCCTTCTTCAATAGCATCAGCTGTTCGTCGTGGCTTTTGATATCAGATTTAATTGTATCATATTCTTGACTCAAGTAATCTATGGTTATTTTAATTTCCTTCAATATACTGAGTTCATTTTTTATTTCTTGGAGATCAGTTTCAAATTTTTGTACTGCACTGACTACTGCGCTGGTCACAGCTGATTGGATTTCCTGCTTAATTATAATCAATACCGCTGGATCAAGTTGCATGACAGGCGAACTAGCCTGCATTTTGTCGACCACTTCTAAAGGGTGACCCCCCTCAATATCAATTCTATTACTACTCCGAATCGGAGTATCCGAGTTATCACCAACCTTGGGTTGCTTACTTTTACATACGGGACACTTCCAAGCGCTTTTAGCTTCTTTAGATAGTTTCTTGTAATTTTCCTTCGTAATATTTACACAGTTGTAGTGAAATACTCCAGGACACTTCGTGCACGATATTTTGTCAGAGGCCGCAATTTAATTCTTACATCCACCACACGAACTCATGTTGAAGTAATTTTCCCCAAAATCGGTAAACTATT